GCGATAGTGTCGAAAACTTTTTGATCACATCGTCGGACAGTGCTTCGTGCATTTGTGCAGATTCGGAATGTAGCAACCCGTTCGTTTTGGTCTCCATAGCAAATAATTCAACTGGGTGGGCTTGAACAAAGCGCCATTCCTGTTTTATCCACTTCAGGTCTTCAAGGAAACCCTTCGATTTCGCCTTTATGTCGTAAAAACTCCTCATTCTGTACAAGAAAGAGCTACATAGACATTACCAGTGTTAGTAGCAAACACACGACTTAATAATTGTGATGTGGCGCCCTTAGTACTCCTCGAGCAACCTTAATACTCTTGTAGCACCCTTGGTAGTGCAGAGAAGAAACTGTTGACGTACCTGTGGAGAGCGATGTCGCTTGAGCCGAATGAAACCATGAGCCCCCATGGTGCGTCTTCCTTATTGGCAGCAAGACGGGCCCTCTTGTTCAGCATCGAAGCCTCTGCTTTTTTCAAAAGAACGTCTGGAATAACAAATGAATGTTCCTTGTGGCTGTTCGCGCTGGTTTCCGTTGCAATTTCACATCTAACGGGACGAGCTTGGATGAATTTGTCAGTCATCCGCACTGGATACTGGTCGAGCACATTCGAGACCTTCTCCACGTTTGGATGATAGTTAGACCACTGAATAATTTCTGTCATCGTTGTCGTCACCTCAGAAGAAAACAAAACCAGAGCAAACTTCGGTTGTGGGGTGCTCCATCCTTGCTTCTTCTTTTTTCTTGTTCGAGGTTTGGGGGCTGGGAGCTGGAGAAATTTTAGATCTCGAGCTTTGGGAAGAATGTCCGATGATACGGTAGCCTCAACAGGCAGGACTTTGGATTGGTTTGTTTTTATGTCAGATGTATCCACGTCCTCGTCATCTGGAGAGAGTTGTAGTGCAGGTTGTTCAGAAGGTTGCGCAAGTTGTGATGGTTCTACAAACAAATTATCGGACGGCGCTGTATCTTTGTCTGAAAGAGAAACGTCGTGCATCGAAATGCTCCACTTTCGAGCGAGGTCAGCTAGAGATTCAGCCTTCATGGCCTGTTCTTGATCAACTTCCATTTCGGCCATCACATCTGCGTAATCGAGTTGGTCCAGGTAGCTTCCCGTATCACTATCGAAGCTATCGTCAATGGATCCACAGTCACCCCGTACTTCTTCCTCGAGCACTGTCTTCCACTTGCTCATCTGCTCGTAAAAGTCAACTGTCTGTAACGCACTAAGTTTTTCAATAATTGGTTTAAGCATTGCTTGTGCTCTTGCATATTTCTCAGCGTCTGATAAGACAACCATATTTGCCGGTTCTTTTCGTCGTAGACGCACGTACTTAACAGAACGTTTTTACGTGCTCAGAGCCGCAGCAGAAATATTCTTTAAGGGTGCTGCAACGACTTGGGGCGCCATAACCGGAGGTGGTCGTGCCTTCACCATATTAACCACCTCACGAAGCGGGAGCAACCCATTTTCAAAAGTCGCGTACAATTCTTCAGTCTTTGTCATGCTCCATCGAGCTGGTTCTGATTCTGCTGGAAGTGATTCGAATCCATGTATTTTGCTAGCAACAATCATTACGTGCTGGCAAGGAAGTCGGCAGCTTTTATAAAACAAACAATTGCACGACCATAATAGATCGTCAACACACCATTCTTGACCATGCAAACACACTTTCCATTCGGATTGGGCCAACCCGACGTGCCGACATGTAGCTTCACTCTGGTGCACCATGAACAAGTTCCACTGAAACGAAACCTTCACAAATGTGTCGTTAGACAGCTTCGCAGCAACGCGTTGCAAGAACCGAGGAATATCATCCGGTGGACGCGACTGACTTGAAAACTTGCGCAACAAAATGGACGTGGTTGACACCATTGATTTGGTTTTGTAGTAATCCCGCGATTGTTCGATCAATCCGTGCTTTTTTCCCAAGAAGCCGTTTAAGCTGGTTCCAATTGCTTTCAATCCTATTCGTCGTCGTATTGCCCGCTGTAAAGTAATTCCCACGACCATGGTTCGACCGCATATCGCTACACCACTCCCAGTTGTTTTGAAAGTACGAAAAAATCTTTGGGCACGGCTTACTACAAATATCGGGACACTTTCCTTTACACAGTTTCTCGAATCCATCTCTTGCTCGCTCAAAATCTTCTCTGGTAGTACTGTACATCATCTGCTTGATCGAGATCTCCACTTCATCTCGCTGAACACCATTAAGCCCATACTCTGCCCGCTTTATAACTTTTTTCCAGTTCGCCATGGTGTGAAACTAGCAGAGTAGCACTGTGGCTTGGGGGAAGCATCTCTCTAACACTTTCCATTCCTTGAAGTCTTTGTCTATCACAAAGGTCTCGATGTTTCTCCACGAACTGTTGTGCGTCTTAAAAAATCCAAAATAGTCTCCATTGTCTCCATCTTTTCGTTGAGAGCGATAAAGTCTAGTACAGGCACGCCACGTCCTGTTGCACTAGGCCACCTGCATTTACATATAGATAAGAGACAATTAGTAAGGATGCTACACCAGAGATAAGGGCGCCCTAGAGATAAGGGTGCCTAGCGTAAAGAGCGCCGCAAAGATAAGGGCGCCGAACGAAAAACATTGAAGGAAATTTGTATGACTTCACACAATTAATGAGTAATCTTACCGAGATGAAACCCCAAGTTGTTCGTGCCGTAAGTCCAGTCTATGCATAAAGTGTCACCCCATTGCTCAAAAGCTATCTTTTGAGTGGCACTTTGCATCACAACGCCGCACGTCACGTCGTTTTGATCGTGGATAACAAGTACCTCATGATTCTTGAACTCCGCGAGGGTATCAAGCATGCGCTTAAGCTGTTTATCAGCGGAAGTACTTTTCAGTACCCTTTGCACAATATTACGCGCTTGCTGGGGTGTCACCTGATGGTCTAAGGCGCCCGATAAAAACTCTTGAATGCGACGCGAGTCTGTGTTTGCATCGGCAAGAAGGCCCACTTGTTCGAGAACCAGTCTATCTTCCGGTATTGACCCGGATCCAAAGTAGCTCGCGTAAATCGTTGCGTTCGTGCGGTGATTATGTGTCCATGTCTACAATCAAAGACATCAGCATGTTAATAGTTCATCAAACCCTTCAACAATTGTACGGCCACGTACCCAGTTCCGTAAAACAATTTTTCACTCTGGTTTTTCTCCTTGTGCGGCAACATTTCTTACTGCAGCTGTGAAGCGGGCTTGACGTCCAGTGTATCGACTTGGCGTACTGCGCCGACCTTTGCTGCGAGACTTTTGCGAGCACCCATGTGTGCAGCGGAACACCTTGTAGCTGTGCTCCATACTCGTTGGTATCTGCAGAGCGTTCAATCTAATAAATCATATCAACATGTTATCAGTATTCAATAATATGATGGCACAATATTTAAACTTACGAGTTGTGCTTTTTCACAGTCTGAGTGTCACGGGCTCGGAATAACCGGAAAAAATCGCTGCTGTACCTCTCTAAAACGCGGTTAACCTCACTCCACGACGAAAAAAACAGCGTAGGTAGTGGAGGTATCTTGTTGCAAACGCCTTCACGGGATGATTCCATCGCCATACGAGCTGGATACGTTTCGGTACGCCTGGCGCGGGGCGTGCGGTCGGATTGTGGGTCTTGAGCATACCGTTCGAGTGGATCGTAACGAGAATCGGCTGTTGCTCCGTCAGATGAATGCATCGACAGCGTCTCTGCTCCACTTTCTTCGCCAGTGCAGCTGCTCGTTCCACTCGATCGCCGCCGCCGCCGCTTCCCGGATCTTGCTGTACGTCGACGGCAAAACTTTTTCCGCTTCAGAGATTGTCTCTCCTGCCAAAGTGATTTTGTAGCACCTACATTATTTCGTTTAATAATACACAGTTGTTTTTTTTGTGATTCAATAGAGCTCCAAGAAGCAGCAATACAAACCTTGTCGATGAGAGTGCTTTGGCTTCGATTCTGCGCACGCCATTAAAATTCATAGTAAACAAACGTAGAAAGATGTCTAGCAACCGATTGTTCTCACCGATCTCCTCAAGAAGTTCCTGCAACTCCTCGTTTGAATCGCTCATGTGTATAAAATCTTCGTCGCGGTCGTCGTCTGGGGCGTCACTAGAAGAATTTCTATCCATCGAAATCTCGTCTACGGAGAAATTACGCTTCAGATTACCAAACATGGTCAAGCCGTAGATAAACGCACGTACCCTTCTGCATTGACTTTACCCTCAGCGAAGTGCACGTGCGCGCAAGCGATTCCCCCTCAGTTGGCGATCGTCTGGCAGTGTAGCGCGCGGAGCTTCCTTTTCCCGCGCTGCGCGTTTTCTAGAATGTTCACTTAAAATCCGACGGCCAGTATTTATCGTACCTAAATGAGAATGTATTGTACTACTGAGTAATTTAAATTGTCACGGAAATTTAATATTTCACGTGTAATCTTTGAAGCTCTTAAACTAAAAGCAGTAAACTTAGGGCGTTAACGGGACTTTTTATGAAAAAAACTTAGGGTGCTCCAACCACTCCGCTCAGAGGCTCATGTGCGTAATTGGCAAGCTTTGCGTTTTGACTGTCAGGAGGGTCTGTTTCTGCTTGGAACACCCCCTTCACTTCAACCTGCACGCATTCGTAAACCTCCTCGTCATAACTCGATTGTTGACGTGGCGATTTTGCTCCTAGGGTATTCTACAGAAGCCTAAACGAGTTACTGTACTGTAATTCTGTAGTATTTTCACAGTCTGTAAATGCCACTGCCACAAGCAGACTTCAATTGTTAACGATATCGCACGCAGACACTCAACTGAAGCCGGCACAGCGCAGACAGCACAAGAACGAGCAAACGTCGCTGCGCCGAAGGAGAAGCTCGTTGCGTGTCTTGTGTGCTTTCCGCTGTTTTTGTTGTGTTAATTTCTACTCGTAGCACAAGAAGCTCAGCCACAAGCTGCAGCAAGCTTTAAAACTCGGCTAGTAACTGACTGGAAGAGGAGGCAACCTACCTAGAAAGACTTGGTCTGTCCGCTTACAGCTTGTTCATGGACGCAACGTCCACCGACTGCACGTAGTCCTCGAAACCCTCAATGGCGTCCGTGATGTCGTCAAGCAGCACCAGGTCGTCGATAATGACGCACTGCACGAGCAGCTTCTTAATTCCGAAAGCCACCGGCACCAGCTTGTGTCCCTCACCCCAGGTCAGACCCTCGACGGGCAGAGCCTTGATCTTAACGGCGAGCTCCTCGAGATCGGTCTCAGCCTCCCACGGCTTCACCTCAATCACCACCTGCGAGCGTTCCACGGGTTTCTTCTTCTCCTTCTTGGCGGCCTTGGCAGCCTCGGCGCGCTTGGCAGCAAGGGCCTTGGCGGCCTCGTCATCCTCGTCGTCGTCATCACCGAAGAGGTCATCGTCGTCATCCTCCTCGTCCTCCTCCTTGGCGGCCTGCTTCGGGGCGGCAGCAGCCTGGGGGGCGACAGCGGCGGCCTTCTTGGTCACCAGGATAGCGCGCAGGCCAAGCTTAGCGGCAATGTGGACGTACCAGCGGTACACATTGGCAAACTTGGCGGCGTCGGGCACGGCCGAGAACTTGTGGAACAGAGCGGCATCGGCCGAACTGAATTTGTAGCCCTCGATGTAGCTGCGGTTCGTCAAGAAGCCGTTAAGCTTCTTCAGGCCAGCGTCCTGGTCCAGGTTGTCGAAGGTGATGCCCATGATCTAAAAGGTAGGTTGTTACTATGCGGCCGGCTGCTTGGCTAGTGATAGATCTGTGACCAGGGGAGGCTCGCTTGGCTGGCACAGGAGCGTCGGCGATGGTTATGGCAGATTATTCATCGAGCGGTTACCCGCTTAATGAAGACAAGTATGCGGATGGGATTTTGGCACACACGGGCCACTATTCGGAGGTTTTCCAAGGAAAAACGCTACAGCATCTAATGCGAATGTCGATACATGTATGAGCTCACTGGCCAGACGTGAAACACACAGAACCATTAATGGCTTTGTACTTCGTAGTTACTCTCCGCTGCTGAAGCCACATCACATCGACACCTTATGAGGTCTCTCAGATTAGTAGGATGCTGGTATTGTTTAGACGGTAAAAAAGAAGAAGCAATAAACTACTTATATTGGAAGCCACGATTCTGTCCTTTTGCTTTCATTTCATGCTAAGAACCACAAGTGAATCATGGCTAGGAATCTTCTATTGATTCTGCGGTTCTTGGACTGTAATATTGTAGCGTAAATGCTAAAAATTCGTTCCAACGGGCTGGTCCACCAACATTTTTATTCTCGCAGCCATGTGGTTGCAACGAGCATGTTTTACCGGTGCTACAAAAAAAGAAAGGATTCTATTTTTTATACAGTATTCCGTTTCGGGAGGACTTCTCATTGCGTGGCTCTTAAGCTGTAGTCCGAAGTATATATCCTGGTATTCGAGCGGATGGCGTAAATTGTTCAGACTGCCATTTATTCGCTCTTGAAAAACACATTCTTCGTATTTTCAATGATGCGGGAAGCAACGTCTTCCTGGTCTTCGCCGCGAATGGCACTGACGATCTCAAGCACTTGGCTACATGGATTATAGACGAATGCAGCAATTAGCGTACAAATGACAGTAGTATACCTGAGCTGAGCGTACATGAGTGTGCATGGCTCGTTTCGACCCTTGACAAGACAGTCTGGTGCATACTTCTCCGCCTTTTTGCTCTGCCACGAAGTCTTAACGTGGCTGTGGCCAGCATGAGTGCCACGGATATCGCACCAAGGTGCGTCTGTGACCAAAGGCGTTATTGCATTAGTGCTAATCCAAAACTTCGACATCACAAGATCTGACATTGCGCACAAAGTCTTACCAGTTTCAATCATCAGTCGTTCTATGGGAATCGCCTTGACACACTCCAAGTTCTCTGCAGTTTTCAGCGAGCAGCCGTTCACACCTGCACGGTACCCACCAACAAAAGTACAATTTAGCATGACGGTTTTACTCATCAGCTCTTGCATCTCACCAATGTACAGTCCGAGTTCCACCAGCTTGAGCATCTCCTCCTTTTCACCCGTGAAAGAGTGTACAACGCCATTCGAGAATCTCGACCGGTTCTTCGAAATCATCTCTGCAACAAGGCACAGATTTCATCAGTACTCTCGCCTTGTTCATCAATTGGCGCTATCACGTGTCACCGTAGAAATCCCCTCCCGTATTCCTATTGTGAAGAAATAGCGGTAATTTGGTCAATTCTGCCAGCTGGAACTGCTTTTCGAAGTACTTGAGTTGCGTCGGTTTATCACAAAACTCGAGTCTATCGTAATCCAGTCCGCACTCTCCAATTGCCACGACTTTTCCCTCTTTTTTGCCTTGCTCACACACAGCCAATAGTTCTGCAAAGTAGGTGTCGGGGTCGTTTCCGTCTGCTTCAAACTCGCTGCAACGCGTCGGATGAACCCCGACAGTGGAGAACAGTTGCGGCAGCTCATCACCCTCGTTTTCCTTTGCCAGTTGCAACGCCTTGTGGCTCTCCTCAAGATTGCCACCCGTGACTATGATTTTTTCAACACCGACAGTATGTGCGCGAGCCAAAATAGCTGTCAGATCCGACTGTAATACGCAAAGACAGCAACACGTTAGAGAGTTCAATTCATAGTAAGGTACATGTGCCTTGGATATTTACCTCGTGCTTCTGCTTGCCGCGGTAGAGGCCTGTGAAAACCGGGTCCGTCAGATTCGCTCCGATATCGATCATCTTAAGCGTCATTTTGCGGTGCAGCATCAAGCACTGCTTAATAGCTTTTCACTATCTGCACCGAAAACCATGAAAATATTTGCCGCTCAAAATGTCGCAGAAGTTTTCAAACGTGCAAGGCAACTTCAACAAGACAAAATCTTGCATTTGCGCGGGAAACCCGGTTGCAAAGGGAAACGAAGTTCATTTCCCTTTGTGGCATCCACTTCTCACTTGGTATTTGAAGAGCTACGACCGACAGGAAAAGATGACAAGAGCTGTTTGGCTTACGGACGAACAGCGCGAGAAGATCGTGCAGATGCGCAACGACGGCATGCCGGTCAAGGACATTGCCGAGCAAATGAGATGTAGCACCAACTACATCTACCGTGTCTTAAGGAAAGCCAACAGTACAGAACCGAACAAAAAGAAGCAAAGGATATCGGACTCGAATGCGCCAGCATCCAATGCCGCTGCCGCATCGACTGTTGCTCAGCGTACTGATGTTGAAGAGGGACGGGATCAGCTGCTGGAAGATCTCACCGACTCCAGTGCTTCTCTGCTGTGTGCTGTCGATAGCATGGAAGTGTCAGCGTACGATCCGATTCCGATGCCGAAGTCGGTGCGAGGCGCTGAGCGCCGAGCACAATCCCAAGTCCGTCAAGACGCAGTGAACGCCAGTGTTGCGTTCGGCGCCGATGCAAATGTCAATTGCAATGTTGCCAAGCCACAAGCTGCACAGAGCTCAGAAGAGTTTTGGCTCTTGCCGGATGCTGCGCCTTCAACTTGTCGTCCGGGTTCACCGATGAGTAAAACCGCGTCCTCCAATGCTTCCAGGGCCAACCAAGTGCAATTGCAGTCTTTAACGAGACAAAAGTCTCGAGCTTCGACCAAAACAACGAGCGCTCCAGCAACGTCTTCTTCGTTGCTTGTGAGCCTCCATGTCCCACGCTCCAGATCAGAGCTCACGCACAACTCGAGAGCATCTCCTGATGGTCTCAATGACATCCTCAAGCTGATCAAAGACGAAATTCGACGCCTTGAAGGCATGAATCAGTCCGATATCTACGACGCTCAACTGCTGCAGATGCTGGTGAAGTTCCACGCCGAGATGTTGCTCGTGCAACTTCAGAAAACGTTGTCTGTTGGCGATTCGAGCAAGCGAGCCAGAGACGAAGGGAAGGAAACCAACCGCCTACTTCGCCAGAAGCTGGCAAAGGAGATCGCACTATTGAACGTCCAAGCCGACCGTGAACGACTGGAGCTGGAACGGGAGCAGATCCGACACAAGACGACCTCGATGATCTGCCGCAAGACACTCCTGGACGCCAACGCGTCCCCTATAGACGTAGATCAACTCTTCCCTCGCAATTAGCGTTCATTTGACCGGTTTTGCTTTCACGCTCAGCTGCACTTAAGTGCTCAGTGTCAAAGCTTGCACTTCCACGTGATTTTTCATCCCTCTATGTTGCCATTTTTTATGCGTTATCGATCGGGCTCTACCAATACAAGACTGCGCGCCAATGCTGATCTTCCGCGGGTTTTGTTTCCACGCTGCTGTTGCTAATTGTTTTCGCGCTGCTGGATTATAACTGACTCGTACAAGGTTGATGGGACTATCGCGCCACGCTAGCTGGAGCCGATTGGAGTACATGTCTTCGCCTTCTTGAGCAGAGACTCGGAGTTTGCCGCTTCCTTCAGTGCTAACTTCCGTTTGGCCGCGACCAGCGCTGCTGACTCCACGCTGCCATCGGCACTGTCGCTTCCTACACTATTACTATTGCTATCATCGTGGTTCGCGTCATTGCTGCCATTAACCTCAGTTGCTGGCTGTGTCGAAGAGTTGCTCCCGTTCTCGCTGCTGTTGGGAGCTGCCAGCTTCCATGATATCTTCTGGAACACGTTCTTGAACTGCGGTGATCGAGCGTTCTTTGATGATTGCTGCGCTTTCTTTTGAGCGAGGACGTTACTTCCCCCCAAGAACGATTGAGTATCCACTTCATTCTCTTTTTTCTTTCGCACGGGAAGCTTAAGTTCTCGTTCCTCTCCGTCGATATCAGCACCGCGTGGAGATACTGTCGACGTCGAGTCAATCGAGTCGTCTTCTTTATTTGCACTTGACGATTCGTCATCATCGTCATCGTAATCCACCAACTTTACTGACCGTGGGCGACTTTGACAAAGAACTTCCTCCTACGAGCGTATCAAAGCAATCAGTTAGCATATCCAGTCAATCCTGTGTGATCCCCGTCCAGTTCTTACCTCTGACAGTCCGTTCTTAGTAAACTCAGGTGAAGTTTCTGTCGTGTCGGTGTCTTTTTCGAAGTACATCTCCTCTTCGTCGTCGATACTGCCTGCTCGGACAAATTGGGGCTTGTTCGTATCGGTAGAACTCATGTCTACATCCTCTGACCCTGCGTATCCGTCATGGCGCGCGCGAATAGCCTCGAACACCAGCGGGCATTCAGCTTTATACGTCTCGTAGAATTTCGTGTGGATGTGCTCGACCAGCGACGTCAAGTTTGTCTACACCGCACAGAACACAGTGCCTTCATTAGCTTCCAAGCCAAACCGACACTGAAGCACCGCGCTGCTGCGTACCTTTCCAATAAACGATAAGACTTCCAAGATCGCCGAGCCGACAGCCCCCGTGTTCGGTTTTCCGATCTCCAGATTGGCGAGCATCGGAGTAAACAGATCGTTCTGAATCAAAAACCTTGAGAAGAACGCTTCAGCTCGTACTGCGCACGCTCGAACAAACTTCACGGCATCTGGTATGAGCACAAGAGCGATAATGAGTAAGAGGGATCAGCTGCACGCAAATATACAGCTCACAGCACCTGAGAAGGTGATCTGTAGCTATTACGTACGAATAACGAAGAGCTTGTTCTTGGAGCGCAACATCTTCTCGGCGTAGGTGGCAACGGGTTGCCTTCCGAATAGATATTTTACACGATACCCGTGGTTTTCAGTGCAGAACGTGAGTAGTTCCATGATACTGTCTTGCAGATCGAACATGGCCGACTCATCGGGGACAAACGCGTTGTTCTTCAGTGGTTGCAGCAGCCAGTGCATGTAGTTTGGGTAGAACACACTCAAAAACTTGTCGTCCTGTCCAAGCGGTACCCTGAAGATTTCCCGCAGCAAGTTGAACAGTTGAATACGCGTCGGTTCGTTCCGCTCAAACACGACCAGCAAAGCAGTGAATAAAGACGAATCTGGTGTCCACATGATCCGTTCCTTATCGGATGTCGGCGCAGGGATGCACTTCCCTTCACCTGCAAGGTACGATCGTAGCATATCTGGACCCCGGTAGACGACTAGCATGTTCAGAATGTCCACCGATAACGCGACTTCCTCTAATTTTGAATCGCAGGAGCCCAAAATGGTAGAGAAAGCTACGTAAAGCTCGCCATCTCCGAACAGATCGTCAATAAGCGAAGCAAAGATTGGCGGGGCTCCGAAAGGTTCGCGACGCTGGGGTCTGTCCACGGGCTTTGTCACTCGCGCCAAGCTGATAATCGCTTTCAGTAGTCCAAGACCCTCCAATCTTTTGTCTTCGCTGGTAACAAGGTCCTTACTGCAAACAACAGCGTACGGTGCTCATTAGAAATCAATCGACCCCACAAATTATTGCAAAATTATTGCACATACATGGCCTTCCAGTAGTCTTCAGTCTCGGAAATGAACGAAAGGATGTGGAAGTTGTTCTCGTTGGCCATGTGTTCCAGTAAGAGCACGCAGCCATCCGGCAGTGAGCGTGACAAGACGTTGTCCTTGATCACCTGGATACGAAAGTTCATGTGGACTCGCTCCACTATAGTCCGGTCTGAGATGGAGATCACCTGTCAATGAGCCACCAACAAACGTCAGCTTTTTCTACTCGTAAAGCGTTGAAAAGCCACAGTTTGCATTTGCGCGGTACCTCGTTAAAGCCCCCATCTCCTTCCAGAGCCGTTCTGAAGTCTATCTCGCGGATTAACCCTGGATTGTAGCCAAACACGCCGACTACCGAGATGAAATTGGCCTCACTCAGTAAGATCTCAATCACGCCGCGATTGCACATTTCCACTGAATTATCAGTTGCGGCGTCAGCTCGATATCAAGTTCCATTGGCAAATTCATCATACTACTCACGCATGGCGTAGAAAATGTCGAAGAACTGGTATAACACTGTCTTGTCAGCGTCCAGCTCGCACACGTCGAACAGATCTAGCAGCTTGACAATGTATGCGCCATCCTACTCGTTGAGAACATTTGAATGAGTCTCCGTATTCGTTCAGGACGCCAGAAAATAAGTCGCTCACCTTGTCCGCAAGGTCCTTAAGCACCTTGGAGCGCACCGTTGGATGTGACGTCTTCAGCACGAGCAGGATTTCGTCTAGGTGCTCCACGTCGCATGGTGGCAGGTCGCGACTGCATTTCAATGTTAATCAACGGCCGTTAGCGCGTTATCAGCCAATAGAAGCCGCCGCATCAAGGCGGACGAGAAAGAATCCGCTCGTACGGCTTAATGTCATCGCGGAAGAGCTGGTCGAGGCTGCTCCCGCCCTCCATGCTAGCAGATCGATGACTCGCGTTGGCAGGAAACCACCCGTTTAACTGGTCGCGGTCGCAGCGGCAACTTTTCGCCTCCGGGTCGACTGCGTGCGTTACCGACACTTGCAAAGTGAGATTTTCCGACACCAAGTCTCTCCCCTTTTGGCTGACCAATGGTGAGACGGTATCAGTTGTGTTTTGGCCAATGATAAGTCAAGATATGGGCTTTAGGTCACTTTGACCTGGACGGCGCTGGCCACAATGAGGCAACCAGAAGCCCAGTTGGCGTTGCCGCTGTGATGGGAAGGCAGCCTCGCGGACTTCAAGCCACACGCATAGCGTCGACTGCTTGTGCCTTCTAGCTGTCATCTCCTAGACAAGATGGCGTGGCGTGACTGTGCTCAACGGATGTCATCCAGCTGACTGTTCAGTGCGATATTGGCAACTTCAACTGAAATTATCGCAATAGAAAAAAAAATTACAGTCAAGTTTATTTTTTAAAAATTCGATCATCTCATTGGTAGTCATTTCTACCTATCCGCATTCATCTGAATCGACTCAGATTTCAGTTGAAAATGGCGGGCCGAGAGTTTGCGCATGTCCAGCCGGTTAGTGCGCGGCCCCTGGTGGGCGCAAAGGACCTAAAGCAGTCTTGCTCTTTCTTCTATCTGCTCTACAACATTGTGGTCTAACTCGTGGTAATCTCCCGCTCTTTGATTTGCCAGGACAACGCCGAAATCGAGCGCTCCGTGCTTTCACAGGAGGTACGGTACACCTTGCTTTACCAGCGCTCGTTTTCATTGATCGAGTATCCTGCTAAAACGCTCTTGATGTTTGTGCACATCAGGTGGAGGCGCTGCGGAATCGGTTGGGGCTGCGCCAAGTGGATGTGTCGAAGGAATGTGGCGTGAACGCCAGTATGTTGTCCCAGTGGATGCTGGGCAGGTACAAGGGCAATGTTGGACGCGTATGTGGCATAACTTGCGAAATTGAAGCTTCTTCAATGTTGTGGAGAAAGCGAGCGCTCGGAACTGACTGTGTGCGTCTTTGTGAGGTGCAGATTAACGGTTTGATGGAGTCGTGGCTGATTCGTCGGCGCGGAGGAAAGCCCATGGACAAGGGCATGATGCGTACGAGTGCTCAACCATTTTCTATTCAGTAGAGAGCTGCAGTAATTAAGCTAACAATTATGCTGTGAAGTGTTCACCTCGACAGCTAGCTCACCGAAGCTGAAGCGAAGGCTGGAGGAGATAAACGATCCTCTGCAAGCAGCCAGGAGGTACGAAAGCGGTAGCTTACGTACCGTTATCGCCTATAATCTTACATATCTTTTCCCTGAAACAGAAAAGACAACATGATTTTGGCGCAACGGAAGCTGTATAGCTATCCCAAGGTGCGTCGTGTATTCGAGCTATGTCGTACGCGCAAAGCTGATGAATTTTCGCCGTTTGTAGTTCCCGACTCGCGATTCATTACTGATCCCTATTCGACTCGACATAGACATCGAAGGTTACCGATACATCGACTCTTTCTCGTGGAACCTGTAAGTGATCGTCGCAACTGCTCATCCAGTAGGGGGCAAGGACTGACAGTAATGAAACACTTGCAGCTACGAGAAGGACTTCACGTACGAGACTTTTGCTGCAGCGTTAGTGCGAGACTTAGACCTGCCGAACTGCTTTTACAAACGTATCGCGAAATCGATTCAGGAGCAGGTGGAGAAGGCTCAGAAATCTCTCCCATGGAACGAGGCTGTCACAGGCGAGAGTTTACACCCGATCTTTATCAACCTGCGGCTAAACGATACCATCTACATCGACCGTTTTGAGTGGGACCTTAACAATTCAAACAACTCGCCCGAACGATTTGCCCAGATCGTTTGTGAAGACTTGGTAAGGTCAACTGTTAAACTCTTTTAACTGTGCTTACTTAGCATATCACTGACAGGATCATCGTCATAATTGTATACAGGGTTTGAGTGGCGAGTTCGAAGCGCAAGTGGCTTTATCTATCCGCGAGCAGCTTCGCGACTACGCTAGAGTAAGCAGTGGTGATGGGATCTAGCTACTAATGTGTGTGCTGATGGCTGACGTGGACCAACATGATGATTTTTGAGCAGCTTATTCGAGAAGGATTGAAAGATCGAGTCAGTAGACTGCCACCAGTCACTGCAGCGTTCCGCGACCGGCTTGACGCTGAAACATGGGGTCCTTCAGTGAAGTACATTCTGGCAGATGACATCCCTCAACTCGAGCGCGAAGACTTTAAGCGGATGAGACCGCTGTCACGTCCTACGATCCACTTGACTCCGCCGCCGGCTCCAGTGGCGAAGCCTAATCGGCCGCCCAAGCCTGTGAACACCTTTCTCATGTTTTGCAGGCAAAACCGAAAGAAGATTATGGCCGATCACCCTGCTACCAGTGCTAAAGATGCATCGAAAATTCTCGGAGACATGTGGCAAAAGTTGTCGGAGAAGGAACGCGCAAGGTACGAGTTGTCGTTGTGTTTGAGCGTTCATGTTGGACTACATCGTATTGAATACACCGACTCCTCTGCTTTGTTGCAGCTACATTCCGATGACAGAGATGGAGAATCAGCGGCGCATGAACGAGTGGCGCATGAAGGAAAATGCACTGAATGGCATCCACACGACACTGACTGGGGGCATAGCAACTGCCACTGCATCGGCCACAACCAGTCAGACCAACTTGGCTGCAATTCCAGGAACTCCGATGCTTCTAGCTCCTCGAATCACTCCAAGTATGGCTTCTCCAATGGACGACGTTGACGATGCGGATGCTGAGGATGATGAAGACGATGACGACGATGACGAAGATACCGCTAGTGCGACTGGCATCGCCGTCTGATAAAGCTGCATCGATCAGTCGTCAATGCCGAGCGTTCCGAACATCGCCATTTGTTTTTCTTGTTGTATTTTTACGCTTAAAACTTCATTAGGGAGTCTGTTCGCTGTCTAACGTAGGTGACACTCTCCACTTGGACTGGTAGAAATGATTCTCCAGCTCGAACAGTGCTGACGAAATGTCCGAGCTCAAGTGCGAGATCTGCGCATCCACGTCGTCGCACCTGTGGCACAATATAAACCGTTAGATATACAATACCACAATAGGTAGCTAGTGCCTGGTGTTACCGTTTGAGTAGCTCATCGGAGGTCGTGTCGACGTTCTGACTCATGCCTTCGAAGTCGCCAAGCGCCAGAGACAACTTCATCTCGGAAACGAGCTTGAGCAGCGATTCGCTCGCCTGTACTAGCGTCGTGGCGTAAATGGAGCTCTGGAAAGACTCGCGCGTGGTGTTCGCCGAGTCCTTGATCTTGGACGTCTTGATCAGTCCCTTGAAGTTCTCCACCAGCTTCTCCACATTGTTGTCCAGACGCTGTCGGTACTCTTCCGCCATGCTAATGCGAATTGTAGTTTTAATGTGATCCACACTATTTTTTGCGGACGAGCACCGTATTTCGTAAGCCTCGTTTTAGGGAGCTTTTTTAAAAAAAAAGGAATGCTTCTTTAATATTTAAAAGGATGAGTTTCTGCTGGTATAATAGATCCGATACGATGTCAGCAAATGACAGCTTGTCTGTATTGCCATGCATACAGAACCATGCATACAGACAGACAACTGTCTTGCGATGCATACCAACAATTGTTGGTGAGCCTCATTTGCTCAGGTCTCGGTCGTTATTCCTCGCGCCGTTTTGGTCAGCCGTTCTAAAAACGGATCTTTATGCGAGGTTTTTCAGCGAGGTAAAACCTCTTGGGTGTCTAAAGGGGGACCACAACAAACCCTTCAGAGGCAGTTCCGCTACATTCCAATCAGGTGCGTGCAGATGGCGGTTGCTGTCGGCTCTGGTAGCGCGGTGCAGCCAGTACTGCTGACAGCCACTGCATAGTCCACATCTACAGCTAACTAACGGTAGTCCATTTGCACTCTGGACCACGCTCTTTCCTCCATTTGACCGCAGAAAGGCACACTTAGAACCGAGACTACCTTAAGAAAGCAATGCTTGCCCAGCTCGTAGCAGACGTGTGCCCGTCGTCGGCCTCTTTCTTCGGATTTATGGGTGTCGCCTCCGCCCTCGTTTTCGCCAGTACGTTCTGCTATCCTAGTGACCTGTAGCTGCTGTAGCTTCTACCTAGTGCAAACTAGAAAATTGGTGTCACTCAGTCCTAACTTGTTGCGGCTATTGTTATTGAATTACAGATCTTGGCGCAGCGTATGGTACGGCCAAGTCGGGCGTGGGAATCGCATCCATGGGTGTGATGCGTCCCGATCTGGCTATGCGTAACATTATTCCCGTGGTTATGGCTGGTGTGCTCGGCATCTACGGTCTGATCGTGGCGGTTATCATCCAGGGCTCGATCGACCCTCCAAACGGCAACGCGCCCAAATACGGCTCGTACACAGGCTTCGCACACCTGGCTGCCGGTCTGTGCTGTGGTCTGAGCGGTCTGGCGGCCGGCATGGCTATCGGTGTGGTGGGCGATGCGGGTGTGCGCGCCGTGGGTCAACAGGAGAAGCTTTTCGTGAACATGATCCTGATTTTGATTTTCGCGGAAGCTCTGGGTCTGTACGGCTTGATCGTGGCGCTGATTCTGTCGCAGAAGAAGAGCGATTGCCCGTCGGAGTAAGCTGGAAACTGTAGCAACCGCCTGGACACGATGCAGCTAGTTTATTCACGAGGCCCGACGTTTTCACGAATCGTCGAGTGACAGCAGCTAATAAATCTTCGCATTTGGTATAAAGTGCGTGTTATAATGCGATGCGGGTCTACAGTAGTAGCACTAATGCTTGGTGAGATGCGTCTACAGTTTCTACTGCTGAAGAAGGGCACCACCTTTCCACAAAATTTCATATGCAAAAGGGTGTAGTATAACCATATCACTTGCAGCGGCGCTGAGAAAGAAAGAGCATATCGAGGTTGACAGCTTTAAAGCGCACCTCCACCTCACTCTTGAAGACCTTAATGTATTTCCTTCAAAAGCTACGAATACGGGTAGAGCACCACCCTAAAGCAGAGCCCATACCCGTCTTCTACAAACGATAGCTTACTCCGACGGGCAATCGCTCTTCTTCTGCGATAGAATCAGCGCCACGATCAAGCCGTACAGACCCAGAGCTTCCGCGAAAATCAGAATCAGGATCATGTTCACAAAAAGCTTCTCCTGTTGACCCACGGCGCGCACACCCGCATCGCCCACCACACCAATAGCCATGCCGGCCGCCAGACCGCTCAGACCACAGCACAGACCGGCAGCCAGGTGTGCGAAGCCTGTGTACGAGCCGTATTTGGGCGCGTTGCCGTTTGGAGGGTCGATCGAGCCCTGGATGATAACCGCCACGATCAGACCGTAGATGCCGAGCACACCAGCCATAACCACGGGAATAATGTTACGCATAGCCAGATCGGGACGCATCACACCCATGGATGCGATTCCCACGCCCGACTTGGCCGTACCGTACGCTGCGCCAAGATCTGTAATTCAATAACAATAGCCGGAACAAGTTAGGACTGAGTGACACCAATTCTCTAATTTGCGCTAGGTTGAAGCTCCAGCAGCTACAACACTAACTGGGCCACTAGGAAAGCAGAACGTACTGGCGAAAACGAGGGCGGAGGCGACACCCATGAAGCCGAAGAAAGAGGCCGACGACGGGCACACGTCTGCTACGAGCTGGGCAAGCATTGTTCACGAGATTTTTACTGCTGCAGGTCTAGAGCTGATAAAAACACGATGGGTACATCCACATTGAGGATAACCACAATAGTCAGTACGATTTCTCTCTTCTACGCCACGGTCGAACTTCGACCCGACTTGATGCCCCAAAGATCGCCGTACCTGCTTCTTCTATCGAGCTTCTCGTCGCGAAATGAACTTGAACCGGCGGCCTTTGGATCTCTCACTCGCGCAACATCGTAAAACTCAGCTCGATAAAAATGTTGCGACAATGTCGCTCCAACAAGTATCTTGAGGGAGAAGTGCTTTATGTAATTGTGACTTCTTTTAAGTCTACCCTTTCCGTAGTTTCCTCAAAAAAATATCTACAGTGACGAATATGTGTGTCACTCAACTATCTGTGGTTCATGATGGGGCTTTACGCTCACGCCGCATGGTTTGGTTTGGAAAGCGAGTGTACCATCAACCACAGCAGAGCGTCTGATGCACTCTACACTCAATGGAAAGTCCCTCGGTTCTTTTCGCTCCTGCGTTGTATCCTGCAGGCAGCTGGGAATTCGCATCTGCTACCATCGCGAATGACGCGTGCTACCAAGGTGCCTTATTTGCACTCAGCTATTGGCTTGATCGTGGCAAAAGCATCGAGCATGCAGGTGAAGCGGCTAAGTATGTGCTTGGAATGCACCACACACTTCTGCTTTTGACTCACGTTGAAGCCAATGCAGCAGGTGCCGGTGGTTTTTGGGGACTCATGTACGATAAGTACGAATTGACAGCCCTCGCAGCTATGCGGTACTCTGAACTCATGCTGCCACTCATGACTCATCTGGAAGAACAGCAACGACACAGTGGAGCGATCTATCCGAGGTTCAAGAAGTTGCCTGGACGGCACCCGCCAAATTGCCGTTGCAAGTGTGAAATCTCTGCTAAAAGAGATGAAGTTGCGTCAAGATCCAGACATAAACGTGTTCAAAAACTTTTTAAAATCTCAACAGAAGAGCAAACTACATTTTTACCTTTCATGGATTCGTACTTAGTGGGGAATTTTATCGCTTGGCTCTGGATCGGTCGAAAGATACACCGGCCACAACGTAACAGGCAACCAACTTGTGCAAGTATCTCGCTTGCTTTTGGTCTTCCGTCCTCTTCTCACGCCAATAAACACATCCTCCAGCATGGTACGTGTCTACATCTAGCTTCTACAGCCCCTCATAACTCTCTAATCGCTCTACCAGTCAGGCAACGTCAAAACGCAAGCGGAGGTGAAGGACATCACGCGCATCGAGCGCATCGGTGCACACTCGCACATCCGCGGCCTTGGATTGGACGACAGTCTGGAGCCACGCATGACCTCGCAGGGCATGGTAGGCCAGACGGAGGCTCGTAAAGCTGCGGGTATTGTCGCCAAGATGATCGAGGAGGGCAACATCGCTGGTCGCGCCATCTTATTGGCCGGTAAGCCTGGCACCGGTAAGACGGCGATTGCCATGGGTATTGCACAGGCTCTAGGAGAAGACACACCGTTTACTACCATCGCCGGTAGCGAGGTGTTCTCGCTCGAGATGAGCAAGACAGAGGCCTTGACGCAGGCATTCCGTCGCTCTATTGGCGTGAGAATCATGGAAGAGACGGAGATTATCGAAGGAGAAGTTGTTGAGATCCAGGTGGACACTCCTACTGGCGGTGTGGGTGATAAAGTGGGCAGATTAACGCTCCGAACGACAGAAATGGAGACGGTATACGATCTTGGAGCCAAGATGATTGACTCCCTGACCAAGGAGAAGGTCGAGGCAGGTGATGTGATTACTATCAACAAAGAGTCTGGCAAGATCTCCAAACTCGGACGGTCGTTCACGCGCTCTCGTGACTATGATGCAATGGGGGCACAGACTCGGTTTGTGCAATGTCCCGAGGGGGAACTACAGAAGCGGAAGGAGGTCGTGCACGTGGTATCACTCCACGAGATCGACGTCATCAACTCGCGCTCTCAAGGTTTCCTTGCGCTGTTCGCTGGCGACACTGGAGAGATCAAGGACGAAGTGCGTGAACAGATCGACACGAAGGTCGCAGAGTGGCGTGAGGAAGGCAAAGCCACAATCGTGCCTGGCGTGCTGTTTATCGACGAGGTTCACATGCTGGATATCGAGTGTTTCTCGTGGCTCAACCGTGCGCTCGAGAGCGACATGGCTCCTGTGCTTATCATCGCTACGAACCGTGGCATCACTCGTATTCGAGGGACTAACTACAAGAGTCCGCACGGTATCCCTATCGACTTGTTGGATCGACTCATGATCATCCCTACGAGGCCGTACAGCGAGGCCGAGATGCGTAAGATCCTGATTATTCGCTGCGAAGAGGAAGACGTCGAGATGACTGAAGAGGCCAAAGATTTGCTTACACGTATCGCAGTGGAGACGTCGCTGCGATATGCTATCCAAATGATCATCACAGCGTCGCTCGTATGCTCCAAGCGCAAGGGTACAGAGGTGGACGTGCCCGATATCAAGCGTGTCTACTCGCTGTTTGCCGACGTCAAGCGCTCCACGCAGTTCCTGATGGAATATCAACGCGAGTTCATGTTCCACGAAGTGGACGACGAAGAGGAAGACGAGGATATGGAGCAGTAGATGAGGACTACTGGCAGTCGCAGTAAGGGAAATTCGTTGCTTGCCCAGCTGCCAGTGCCTTGTGTGACCTATAACAATGAAATCCCACTTACTATTGCAGCTATTTGCATTGCACTCTACCTATTATTGCAGAGTGCTGATCATTTGGCCGAGAAGAAGGAGCGCAGGTCGCGCTGTTTAGGCGGACCACTGTGCTTTTTGGCTTCTTTCTTGGCCTTGGCAGCCTTCTCAGCAGCCGATTTCTTCTTCTTCTCCTCCAGTTTCTTCTTGGCTGCTTTCTGCTCGTTTTCGATCTCTTCCTGTGTCAGTTCCACCTCCTTGTACGTCTTCTCCGTGACCATGTAGCCTTGCTCGTTGATGCGCGTCTTGGTGACGAGCACTTGTCTCTTGGTTGCGACAACGGGCTCCTCAACGACTTCGTCTTCGTCCTCGGACTCCACACGCTGCTTCTTCTGCGTCTCTTCTTCCAATTCTTCCGTTTGCTTTGCCTTTTTGGCCTCCGCTGGCGACGCATTCAGTTTCCGCTTCACGTTGCGACTTTTAGGTGCCGGTGTGTTGGATTTCTTTGGTGCCGGAGCTTCGTCCTCTTCATCCTCATCGTCGCTGATAATTCTCTTATTAGTTGTGGTCTTCTTGACAAACACAGGAGCATCCGTCTCGTCGTCCTCGTCGTCATCACTGTCGACCGTCAGCACGTTGCTCATGTCCAGCTTCTTGGCTTCGGGCTTAGTCGTTGGTTTAGAACTTCCATTCCTCGAGCTACTGGCCTTGGAGAAACCCGTCTTGCCGCTGCTCTTGAAGAACGAATTAGACGAGGGCTTCTTCTTGGCTGACGCATTGATGGCGTCGAAGGCCGAGATGGTCTCCTCGCCCTGGCCGTCACCAAAGTCTTGGCGTGCTGTTGCCTCCGCGCACTTGATGCCGCTCGCGTACAGCGCCTTAGCTGCTGCAGACAGCGGCGCATGCTTTGCTACACTACCAAGCACGTCGTTGCGCGCCTGGCGCTCCTGTGCCCAGCATGCCGTTGTCATCGTCGTCACTTGGTCTCTATTGTCAGCTGCATCGCCGTAGAGCGCATAGATCTGCTGGCAAAGAATGTCGTCCGCCTTATCTTGGTTATCCACAGATAGAGATAGCACACGAGCCCTCGAGTCGCGCTTGGCGACAGCGGTTTCTGACTTGTCGCTGTCATTGCCGATGGTTGCACGCTTGATCAGCACATGCAGCGCTTTGACGTTGTCATTGTCGGCCGAGAACTTGGACAGCGCCTCAACACTGAAGGTGATGGGGACTTGCGATCGGATGCTGAGCGTTCGGTACGAGATTGGCTCGCCCGCGTCCAGCACTGTCGAAGAGATCTCTTCCACGCAGCGCTCTATCATCGAGTCCATGGGTGTTCCCGCCAAAAACTCAATTGCGATCCACCGGAGTGGTACGATGTGCCGTTATGTGGCTTACACACGCATGTGTAAAACACATATTATAACGATTAAATCGTTATAAGATCTCCAAAATTTTTGGAGAGTGACATCAATCTTGAACTTTGTTCCAGATCACCGGAAACTGGAAAATGTCAAACGCGCCTGGACAGGTATAAACAGTCCATTATGAAGGAAAGATCACGTTGGCCCAACCGTTGGGCTCTTTTTGAGCACGAGGATACGAGTAAGCAAGGTGATGTCATTGCTGCCCTCAACTGGTGCAAATTCTACCAGCGCTTCGATGGCAACAAATAAGTCGAGCTTGAATGCCTTGTGCAGGTTCAAACTCCAACAAAGCAAAATCGCTTTAAATCATGCTTGCTGCATTTTCAAATAAAGAAATCCTCTTTTCGCCTAGCCTATCTACCGGCCGAGACTTTCCTACTGGTATGTTTGTCATCCGCGGCGGTCCCACGCATACACGGATGCACGCATGGCCCCACCTTCTTCTCTGTCGCTAGTAGCTTACTTCTTGTTGGCGAAGTGGTTGTTGATCCACTCGCTGGTCACAGACTTGGGGCGCTCCAGCGGCAGGGCTAGTGCGCGGTCCCAGAAGAGCTGCGAGAGCACACCAATAGCACGCGAGACACCGAAGAGTACCGTGTAGTAGTTCTTCTGCGTCAAACCGTAGTACTGCAGCAGCACACCGCTGTGCGAGTCCACGTTCGGGTACGGGTTCTTAGTCTTGCCGTGCTCGGTCAGAACACCCGGCATCACCTGGTAGATCGTGTCGACAATGCGGAACAGCTCGTCGTTGGGCATGTACTTGAGACCGAACTCGCGCTGGCACGTGTAACGCGGGTCAGTCTTACGCAGCACGGCGTGACCGTAGCCCGGGATGACCTTGCCGGCATTCAGCGTGTCCCACGCGAACTGGGTGATGGTCTCCTTGTTCACCTCAAGCCCCTTAGCGTGGAACTCGGCCTGCAGGTCGAGGATCCAGCCCAGCACCTCCTGGTTGGCAAGGCCGTGCAGTGGGCCGGCCAGAGCGTTGAGGCCACCGGCTAGGGAGAGGTACGGGTCCGACAGGGTCGAGCCCACGAGATGCGTGGTGTGAGCACTGGCGTTGCCACCTTCGTGGTCGCTGTGGATCACCAGGTACAGACGCATAAGCTCGTCGAACTCAGCGTTGTCAAAGCCAAGCATGCGGTTGAAGTTGGCCGAGTAGTCCAGGCTCGAGTCGTAAGCGTTGTTGGACTCGCCGAAGTACGTGTTGCGATAAATAAGAGCGGCCACCTCGGGCAGGCGAGCGATGAGGTTCATGCTGTCCTCGTACGTGTACTCCCAGTAGGTGGACTTGTGGATACCCTCAGCGTACTTCTTGGCGAAGATGCTCTCAGTGTTCATAGCAGTCACAGCAGCCGACAGCTGCGTCATGGGGTGGGCGTGCTTGAGGTCACGGATGATTTTGAGCACGTGCTCGGGTACCTTGGCGCGCGAGTGCAGCTCAGCGGTGACGCTGGCGGTCTGGGCGGCCGTGGGGACCTCACCGGTCATTAGTAGCCATAGAAGACCTTCCGGTAGGGGCTCGCCACCCTCCTCCTTGGCCGGTAGGCACTGCTGGAGGTCCGGGATGGTGTGGCCGCGGAAACGGATGCCCTCCTCGGCGTCCAGCAGCGAGGTCTCCCACAGAAGCGACTTAATTCCACGAGCGCCGCCGAGAGTCTGCTCCACGGTGACCTCGCCAAGCGACTTGTGGCCGTGCTCAGACTTGAGCTTCTTGAGAGCCTCCTGACGCACGGGAATCTGCTCCTTCAGCTCGTCTAGGAGCGAGGTTGTGGAGGTGGAGAGAGCGCGAGCCGCAGCAGGGGCAGCAGTCGAGCGCGTGGCCATGGTGGCCGTCTGGCGGAGGGACTTGATAATAGCGCTCATGTCTGCAACATCAAGATACGAAAGTTAAACGGACTGCAACATAAAGAGTATTCGCTAGGGTAAGGCCGCCGATCCACGACGTCCATATGGCCGAGCTTCAAGTGTACGAGTAGCATGAGGAGGGGTCGCACCTGATGGATTGAAAGCTTGGCGAGTGCAGTGATCGACGGAGGTGTGTCCTGTGCCCGGGGGATTGAGAAATGGCAAAGGCGTTCGTCTGTGGCTAGTGAGCGACCATTTGGGGTCTGGTGTCAGTTTGATGATTCAACAAAGTCGGGTTGAGCAGGGTACTATAATTCGTAGGTTTCTAAACCCAGACTTTGAAGTGACTGTGTGAGAATGTTGCTTTTTATATTGTATTAGAGGTTAGGTATGTGTGGGAAAGATCGCATCTTTTGCTACCAGCGCGTTGATTGGATGCCTGCGTACGTGGACCGGCCGATCTTGCGGTTTTTGCTTGTGAAGGTGATGGGTGTTGCAGGCAAAATGGTCTGGAGGTGATACGCAAGCTGGCCTGGAGTTTTTGCCCACAGTATCAATCAAGCTGGGGTGTTCTGGCCGACCTGTTCGCAGTCTGCGACGCTAAAGACCTCTGCGGAGAGATCCCTCTCGAAAGCACGCTTAACGCCGGACTTGAAGAAACCGCAAGCTGCGTTTTCGCCGATGACCGGGAGCAGGCAGCCTCGGAATCGCAACGCTTATCGTCGCACTTCAAACCACCTGCCACGGGTCGATCGACATGGTGAGACCGAAGCTTGGGCGCCACAAACACTGTCATGCCAAGTCCGGCGTGACACCGGACTGGAGAGCTCGCGATTTGCTTCAGACTCGGCAGCAGCGGCAGCCGCCATCCATGAAAAGTTTAACAGACGTAGCCAGCCTGCTTCTGAATGTTGCTCGTTCGTCTGCAGTGTGCACCAAGCAGCAAACTGGTTGACGCGACCTCGCACACCGCTTGCACCTTGAAGTTGGCCTGTTAAAAACCCGACTTCCAGACGTAAACTTCGAGTCGAGAAAAATTTAGCATAGCCAGGCGGATCTTCAGATCTGCGAGTTGAACATCCAACTGGCTCGAGGGCACCGGCCAAATCGCCACCACTTTCCGACTTGATGGAGTCCATCATGGGTACCAGCGAGGATTTTATCTGCAAGGCGTGCAATGCCATTTCCTGATTGCGCTTCCAGCACGACTTCCCAGACCAAGGCAACGATAATTCCCATCTAATTGAGCTTCCGCAAAAGGCATGCTGCGCTTAGGCCCTAAGCTAGGGTGCATCCAGGACTTTGATGTGGAGAATTCGTTTTGGAGTCGCAATGGAGGGTGCCGAAGAAGTAGGAGCATGGTCCTGGAGCTTCCTGCTCGATGCTTGAGCTGTGGTTGTTAAATTGGTTGCTGTTGCTCGGAGGTTGGCTGGGGACTGAATTTTCCGACCTTGCCGAGGTTTGCTGGCGCTGCTATTGCAAATAGGCGTCTCGTTATTAAAAGGTCGGTCATTTGTTTTGTGGAGCTTAGATGGGATGTGTCGATGATGGAAATCTCCAGGGTTGTCTACTGTCGCGGATGTCAACCACCAAGTGTTTCAATATCGGTGCCGTAGACTACGGCCCGTCGTGCTGGCCTACGAGTTACTTCGAAGTACTGGAACTGTTGGTAAGGATTTCCTGTTGTCTGACGATGAAATCAGAATGGTTTTGCACAGCGCAATGTCTGATGGTTGAGTGCAGTGTGCTTGGACAGTCCTTGCTGCCACCGCGTAAAATCATGATGCTGTCTTGCACTCCAGTGGTACAGGTTTCCAGTTATTACCACGATCTCTTACGAATAAGTTCTCCCTTGAACTGGTTGAACGATGTCCACTGACGATACTGCTCGAGGGTCACGCTTGTAGCCGCTGATAGTATTTGGAGCACTTCTAGCCATTGACTGATGCGAAGGAGAATGAGCGAGTACCCTCCGTTGCTGTCGGGGATATAGCTTGGCTAATGATGGTGCAGGACAGGTGGGATCGAATGACGGACCGCTGGGGCTATGATAGTCCAATGGTACATTTTCAGTAGTGATGAATCTCTGAACCTTCGAGCAAGGTGTCCGTGAGGTGCGTTTCACACCAACGCGCTTGACTAAAAGCTTGAAACATTGTGCCAGTTTTGATGTTGGAGTCGGGAGTTAACACGGCGCAGTCGCTTTGAAAAAAGTTGTTATTTAAGTTGTGAGAAAATAGTTCCCTGCACATTACTGAGTGATTCGTCATCCGGCAGAGGTGACCTATTCTCCGGACTCTATGTCTCCTAGTATCCATCTGCAGGTTTGTCACGGACGCGAATCCATCGACCAGACCACAGCGAGGAAGGCACTGAAGACTTCAATCGACGCTGGTCTTCAGTGCGTCGAATGGCATGGGCGTCCTTGAAAAAAGCAACTTGGCCAGTGCAAGTTTACCTGACTGCTCAACCTGTACCCATTCGTCAAATCCGCTTCGCACTGTGGACCTTCAACATCGGAGACAAATTAAGCCATTTTTTAGCGCGAGAATTCTAGCTGCAAGTGATAAAGCTTCATTTATGACTTGTCGGCTCTGCAACGAAGTCCTTAGTTGCCGTCACTCTCTCCCGTAACTGATCCTATCCGTCGCTTCTTGCCGTCCGTTTCCCCACACACCACGCCAGCAACTTGCTACTCGGGCCAGTGCCTCCACAAGATAAACCAGATGCCCGGCGCCTATGTAAGATAGTCTCCACCACAAGATGAAGCCAGGGAAACCGAAGTCTCTGCCACTGCAAAAAAAACTCCTATCGGGGAGGCAACCATCCGTCGGCAATCCACCCACCAGATTGCCATCAGGAGCCCAATATCTCGGCTTTTGGTAACCTGTTCATCTCTCATTTTGGTGCCAACTCCGCAAGCCACATTGTATCGAAATGAGCGGCGCTCCGCCCCCCTCCTCAGGCTTCCAGCCCCGCAGCATCGGCTTACCTCCTCTTTCTCATGGTCCTCGCTCGTCCATGATGTCGGTGGAGTACGACGGCATCCCGTTGCCACCTCCGAGCATTCGCTCGTGCGGATCACAGCAATATGTCACCAGTTATATCCCCACGGGGGCAGCTTTCCCCTCCGGTAGCGTACAGGACTTGATCTCGAGTATGAAATCCTACGCCAGCGCCACAGACCTGGTGCGCACGTACAGCGAAATCCCTTCCGTCGAGGAAGCTCTGGTTACTCTTGACCGCGCAGCAGTTGCTCTCGGCGCAAGACGCTACCGAGATGCACTCAAACTCTACCTCGAAGGTGGATATGCCATGGCCAATGTGGCCGAACGACAAGCCAACCCCAAGATCTGCAACTTGCTCACTAGCAAAGGTTTCGAGACTCTCAACTGGTGCGCTAGACTTTGCGATTGGATTGAAGGACGCGTGAAGGAGAAACATCCGCGACCAGGAGTACACAAGGTCGGTATCCCAGTGAGCAATTGGGATGAAGACTGGGTCGGCCCTTACTTGGACGAAGAAGAAGCTCGGCGCATGTGGTACACGCCCGTGTATTGCCCGCACCCGATCGACTTTTCCAACATGGGGTATCGTCTACGTTGCGTTGAGACAGGCCGACGTCCGAGACTCATGATCTGCATCACCATGTACAACGAAGGACCGCAGCAACTAAAGGCAACACTGAAAAAACTTGCCAACAACTTGGCGTATCTCAAGGAACAGAAGAAAGACCACGAGAAGACACTGTCGAGAGATTTCGCAGGTGATGACGTGTGGCAGAATGTGCTGCTCTGCATCGTGGCCGACGGTCGCGAACAGGTGAACGATAAGATGCTAGACTACATGGAAGCTATTGGACTATACGACGAAGACCTGTTGACCATCAACAGTGCCGGGATTGGCGCCCAGTGCCACATGTTCGAGCACACTCTGCAACTCAATGTGAACGGGAAGAGTCTGTTGCCGATCCAAACAGTGTTCGCTCTAAAGGAGAGCAAGTCCAGCAAACTAGACTCGCATCATTGGTACTTCAATGCATTCGCGGAACAGATTCAACCGGAGTATACCGCAGTGATGGACGTTGGTACGATGCTTACCAAGTCAGCTCTGTACCATTTGCTGTTTGCATTCGAACGCAACCACCAGATTGGAGGAGCTTGCGGACAGCTCACAGTGGAGAAACCGTTCGAGAACTTGAGCAACTGGGTCATCTCAGCGCAGCACTTCGAGTACAAGATTTCCAACATCCTCGACAAGTCGCTGGAGAGTTGTTTTGGCTTTATCAGTGTGCTTCCTGGCGCGTTCTCAGCCTATCGATACGAGGCAATTCGTGGAGCCCCATTGGACGCCTACTTCCAGACTTTAAACATTGATCTGGATGTGCTGGGACCTTTCATTGGCAATATGTATCTCGCGGAGGACAGGATCTTGTCGTTCGAAGTAGTGGCGCGAAAGGACTGCAAGTGGACGATGCATTACGTCAAGGACGCGGTCGCTCGCACAGATGTACCACACGACCTCGTGGGACTCATTTCGCAGCGCAAACGTTGGCTTAATGGCGCGTTCTTCGCCACACTGTTCAGCATTTGGAACTGGGGTCGCATCTACTCGGAAAGCAACCACTCGTTCACGCGCAAGATGGCGTTTCTCGTCTTCTATCTGTATCACTTGCTGTACACAGCGTTCACGTTCTTCTTGCCGGCGAATTTGTACCTCGCGCTCTTCTTCATCGTGTTTCAAGGGTTCCAACAGAACCGTCTTGAGTTCGTTGACACTTCCGAGTACTCGCAGACTGTGCTGGATTGCGCAGTGTACATGTACAACTTCGTGTATCTCTTTGGGCTTCTGATGCTGATTATCATTGGTCTTGGCAACAACCCGAAGCACATGAAGCTCACGTACTACTTTGTAGGCGCCGTGTTCGGAGTCATGATGATGCTGTCGTCTCTGGTTGGAATGGGTATCTTCTTCTCGACGCCAGCTACTACCCACTCTATCGTGGTCTCAATCCTCACTGTTGGTGTGTACTTCATCGGCTCAGCATTGCATGGCGAGCTGCACCACATCTTCATGACGTTCACACACTACACGGCGTTGATCCCAAGTTTCGTCAACATCTTTACGATCTACTCGTTCTGTAACCTGCAGGACTTGTCGTGGGGCACTAAGGGTTTGCATGACGATCCGTTGCTAGCTGCTTCGTTGGATGAGACGGAGAAGGGCGACTTCAAGGACGTGATTGCCAAGCGTCGTGCATTGGAGGAACGTCGTCGTGAAGAGAACGAACGCATGGAGAACAGGAAGAAGAACTTTGAGGCCTTCCGCTCCAATGTTTTGCTCACTTGGACGTTCTCCAACCTCATCTTCGCCCTCTTCGTCGCGTACTTTGCCGATTCGTCCACGTACATGCCCATTCTGTACATTTTCGTGGCCAGTATCAACTCGTGTCGTCTGCTCGGGTGCATTGGCCACTGGATCTACATCCACACGACTGGTCTGCGCGAAAGCTTTCTGGATAAGTCAGAATGTGGCAACGGCACCGGTCGGTACCCGCAGAACTCGTACGTGCAGCTCGACGAGCACTATGCCGCTCTCGCAGAAGACCAGCGCACTTATGCCTCCGGACGCACCAATGCTTCAGTGCGTACCAACAACGACGTCTCCTCGATCGCTTAAGTGGATCGAGGACCAGAAACAACCTCAAGTGACCTTTGTTGCGATCGCAAGCAGTTTTAAACCACGCAGAGAGGTTCCAGATCAACCTGTTGCAGCAAAAACTGCAACACCAACACTTAACAACCCAACAACATTAGTCAAAGCAAACAAGTCGAGCAGTGAGTCCTTGCCGTAGATGATGATGCACGTTTATAAATCGCCATACAATTTGCAGCTACATTTTTGCGTTTCTTCAGATCAAAATTCTTCGAAGTATCACTTCAAAGGTCGCAAATCTTTTTGATTGACAAGCAAAATGATGAAGCAGGATGCAAATTCGCTGCTGGGGGCTTGGGAGAGCAATGAAGCGTTCGGTAATACGGCGCTGGACTGGTCTCAAGCTGTAAAGGATCAACATGCTCGGTTGCAGCTCACATTTGAGCCTGGTAACGTCTACAAGTTCCGTTTGATGTCGAAAGATGGTGCAACAGACGTCACGTCGAACTTCCGTCATGCTGTAGCGAACGAGGGCAGCTACGAGTTGGAGGGTGACGACGGGATTGTCATTCATGGAGACACATCCGGCATCAAGTGGACATATCTATTCGAGGAAGAGGAAAGCCTAAGGATCAGGTACAGTACGAATGGGATTTATAGCTGTGAAGGACTCGGCACTGATGTCAACCGGTAATGTTCAGGTTGGAAGGAGCGAAGCGCTTTGGTCGATGCAAGGGCGTGGATGTCATCTACTTTGCCAGAGCGCAATCAAAAGAGCAACTTAAAGATCTGTAGACATCCATACAACCAGTTGAAGGACTTAGCACGATTCCTTATTAAGCAGATTTCTACATGTCCAGCACGTCGTCCAACCAGTCTTCCAACTGCTCCGTCTCAGCTGGAGTTCTGGTTGACAGAGGCACTGGATCTGCTGGCATCGATGGCGTAGGTGTTGATTTCGTTCCACTAGAAGTTGAAGCGCTGAGGTTAAGCAAGAAATCGAGCTCTGCATCGTCTTGTGTGGGTTTCGATGGAGTCTGTATCGGTGCAAGCGTAGCAATCGTAGCTGCAACATTTGTCTGCGTCTCAGCAATTTCTTTCTCAGACTCCGCATCTTCGTTATTTTGCGTCTCGAACGGCAAGTCAATCTGGTAGAATGATACGAAAAAAGTTAGCACGATGTGGATCCAGAAAATGCTACACTGAACGACTTACGCAGTATTTGGGGTCCATCCGGTAGCGTAGATCAGGCGACACAAGTTCCAGCTGCGACGCAATCCAGTTCAAGTCCTGTACAAAAGTGACACCGCAATCTTTTTTAAGCAACTGTAATCGTGAAGAAGCAATGGTGCAATTGTTCTACCGTACCAACACCCCGAGATCATCTGCAGCATCGTCCTTCTCCTCCCACTGCTTCATCGTGCAACTCTGGAAGTGTGCACCTGGCGCCGCCCCCATATGATCCCTGTAGTTCTGCTCCGACGCGAAGAACTGCGTACGTCCCTCATAATTCTCTTGAGTGGTCACAACACTGTCGTCTTGCTCCTCGCGCTCCTCGAAGCGGTAGGCATTGGAGCCCAGATTCCGCAGATGACTAGATCGACCTCTTCCGGACGCCCCGTCGCGCCCTCCAACCACCTCGCCTCTCCCTCTTCCTCGCCCACGCCCGTGTGTCGAACGATACTTCACCTGCGACCGCCCCATGACCAAAAAGCTGTATATTTTCAACCAATGAAATCACTTAAAGTTAAGGCAAGCGGTAGCATTCAAAGAAAAGGAACGAAAAGAAAAAGGATACAAAGGACTTTAGTTTAGATGAAATCAACTCCGTTGTTCATTAGTGCGTCAAAGACTTAAAAGTACTACAATGTAGTAGTTTACTTCTTCGACTTCTTGGTGGCAAGCTTGCGCTGGTAGAACTCAAGCTCCTTGCCCTCCAGAAGGTAGCCGTCAGCGCGGCCGGACTGGCCGGGACGCGACGAGATGACAGCGAGAAGACGGCCGGAAGTTACCTGCTCGTCAATCTTGGGGTCAAGCACACGGGTGCGCTGACGGTTGGCGAGCTTGCGAAGGACGTGGTCGGACTTCTTGACCTCCTCCTCCTGCTGCTGGGGAGTGTTCTTCTTAATGCCGATCTTGACGCCGTAGTGGGCGTCGTACCACTGACGGAACGGGGTAGCGTCCACCAGCACCACAGCGCCCTTCACGAGCGTCTTGGTACGCACAAGCTCATTGTTCGAGGCGTTGTACACGACATCGAGGATACGCGTCTTGCGAGCGCACACCTCCGTGCCCCACGAGAAGTTGCCGGTCTCAAGGTGCAGAGCACGGAACTTCAGGTGGCCACCACGCACACGCACAGTGTGCACACGCTTGCCACCGAGCTTGGTGTTAGCGGGCTGACGGCCGAGCTCGAATTTCCTTTTCTTGCGGAACTGCTTGCGCTTGCCACCAGTTTCACGGCGCTTGTGACGCGAATCGCGAGAGATACCTGAGAGCAATCATTGAACTAGAAGTTAGCATCTAAAAAAAGGGTGAACCGATACTCTGCGTCGGAGCAGCATCATGGGGATGACAGCGAGACGGAGAACCCACAGACTCGAATGCTGCCCGAATTGGGATGCAGCAGAGAGTCTGGGACCGGATGAGGCGGGGAGCTACACTCAGACCCGACGCTCTTCACATGACAGAAGCACCTCCACCCCGCGGAGAACTCCACGGCAGACCAAGCGCGAGACAGCAGGCTAGATAGAAGAGAAGCGGCCGCGAAGCTTACCCATGATTCCGACGGAGTTATTTCGGTACTGTCAGACTGCGGAACAGGCATGAGCCTTCCCCAACCAGTCAACACTCATAGCCAGTCAAAACCCGATCTGAAAGTGGTGTAGTACACACGAGTTAAAACCGGTTTTAGGAGCAAGTTAGAAACGTGTTAGAAATGTCATTACCACCGGTATCCGTCAGGAGCCGTTACATTTTTGCACAGGTATACCGGTATTCTTGAGCTCTAACAAGCCAATAGCAGCTCAGCTTGATCGTCCAATCACCGATCGCTGCAGGTTCAAAGTCCTTGCCGCCATTTTCAGCAACGATGCCGCAAGAGGACTTCTCCACGGAGCTGCTGCAGCTCTACTATGGTGCGCTGCGCCCCACCCACACCATTTCGCACCCAATAAGTTCTCACAAATGATCAATTATTGCTACTAGATCGACTCTTCCCGTATCAGCAGATGGCTCAGTGGCTGAGCTACGACGGAGGTGCGTTTCGTCGCCTTACAGCCTAATTTGTCATCATAGAGGACTAATTATTTTCTATTTCATATTCAGGGGAGGAATTTCTGTTCCGTCGTGAGCTATCGTACACTCTCGAGAACGACACGTACATCCGCTACAAGGCCTTCCACAATGCGGAGGAGCTCAAAACGAGCATGTGCAAGACGATGCCTTTCAAAATCGATATCGGCGCTGTCTTCTCCGTGTCACCCGCTGACAAGGGCAAGGTCAGCGCTGTAGACTTCACACCGGAGCAGCGCGAACTCGTATTCGATATCGATCTTACAGATTACGATGACATCCGAACGTGTTGCGAAGGAGCCGCCATTTGTAATCGCTGCTGGCAATTTATGATCGCGGCTGTGAAGGTTCTAAATGCCGCATTGCGCGAGGACTTTGGCTTCGAGAACCTACTCTGGGTGTACTCTGGACGTCGTGGTATCCATTGCTGGATCGCGGACGAGAGTGCTCGAGGGCTGGAGAATGAGGCTCGATCGGCAGTAGTCGGATACCTGTCACTAGTGGAGGGCAATGAGAACTCAGCGAGGAAAGTCAAGCTACGTGAGCCTTTGCATCCGTCGCTTGAGTAAGTTGGCTACTGCTGAATTGTAGACTTGTGTTGGATCTATTTGCTGACGATATTTTACTTATTTGTAGCCGCGCGTACCGCCAGCTGGAGCCGCTGTTTGAAGACATGATTCTGTCGGACAAAGGTCAGGGAATTATGAGCTCGGAAAAGCAGTGGAACAAGCTGCTAGCTATGGTGCCGGACGAGGACATTCGAGCGAACATGACGCGTCGTTGGAGCGCCACTAACCGCAGCACTGGTCCGGCTGAGAAATGGCGTGAACTGCGAGACGCCGTGGAGAAGCAGGTGTTGAAGAATGCCAATTCTGCACGCAGTGGCAGTAACGTCAAGCGCTCTGCACCTAACAGTGACGCTAGCAAGCGCTTCCTGGCGGCCGAGCTGCGTACGTGTCTGCAGGAGATCGTGCTGGCGTACCTGTACCCACGACTAGATGCCAACGTGTCCAAGCAGCGGAATCACTTGCTCAAGAGTCCGTTCGCTGTGCACCCCAAGACCGGCCGCGTCTGTGTTCCCATCGATGTTTCCTCCATGGAGAGCTTCGATCCCTTCAAGGTGCCCACTCTGGGCCAGCTGCACGAGGAGCTCGACTCGGACAAGTCGGCTACCAGTATGAAGAAGTACGTGGATTTCTTCGAGTCGTCGTTCCTGAAGCCGTTAGCCGCAGTTGCCAAGCGAAAAGAACGCGACGCCCGTGAGAGCGACGCTGCTATGACTGGAGACTGGTAAAAAGAATAAAGTGATCGAAGATTTCAAGCAAACTCAACGCGATGACGGGTAAATATATTGTGTGCCTAATCTTCTACGACGTGTTGTATTGTGAGCTTTAAGCGGAGTGCCAATCTAATGCTACGTCTGCTCCAACGATGACTTAGTTTGACCCTCGAGCTGCTCTCGCTGCTTTGAAGCGGGAGACTCGTTTCACGGGTTGCTGAAAGATGGCACAAAGCAGACGATGTCAGGATATACAAACCGTTCAAAAGAAAGAGAACCACGAGCACTTACAGCTTCGCCGACCGGTTCCAGAGTCACAGTCTGGCCAGTGTAGTTGGTGCCTTGGAAGCGTGACTGCCGAGGCTCCGAGAAGGGAGACACCACGGGAGCGGACACGGCGGCTGGCACCTTCTCCGTGACTTCATGTTCCACGATACTACCGGAGAAAGCAGTCGACGCAGACGAAGCTGCGACGAAAGAAGTCGAGGGTGATGTCGGTACAGGGGGCTTTAAGGACGGCGAAGTGGCAGGCACAGGCTCCACCGCTGACGTCGCTGGCGCTGGCTGCGGTTTCGATTGGACAGCAACGCTGCTCCCATTCGTTTTAGCAATCGCTTTCTCACGCATCTGCTTTGCGTTTTGTCCGAGTTTTTCATCAGTAGGACACAATTCCATGGCACGTTCGTATGCTTCAGCTGCGTCTTCGAACTGCTCCAGTGCCGCCAAAGCGCACCCTCGGCGGTAGTGTCCTTTCACCCACGGTTCATGCAGAGAGACAGCAACATCAGAGTCTTCCAGGGCCAGCTTATACTTCTTCAGACGATGATACGCTGCAGCACGGTTGCCATATAAAATCTAGGGGGATAAAAAAAAACCAGCAGCAACAGCATATAAGTTGGCATTCATCCGCAAGGTCATAATCCTTTTCTACGTACATGAGACGTCGGGTCCACCTCGATAGCCTGCGAGTAATACTGGACAGCAGCCTGGAATCGTCGTTTAGCAAACGCGTCATTGCCCTTGGCTTTCAAAGCGGCAGCCTGGGCCTCTACTGACTCTTCCTCTTTCGCTGACTTGTCTTCGGCTTCCAAACTGTCTCCAGCAGCTTCGCGAGCTTCCAGATCTTCCATGCGCTTCATCACGTCGTCCCAGTTCCATGCTGCTTGTTCCTGTTTCAATCGCTCTTCCTCCTCCACCTCAAAGAACTCCTTGATATCTGCATCAACCATCAGACGTCAGCACTCACACCATCCAGCAGTCAAGAATTCATCCTCCTCACCTTCATCCGTAGCGCGCGGAATTGGTCCGAGGTCGCTCTCTTCTTCAGTCTCTTGGATTTCACGAATATTTTCGTCCTCATACATCTTCTGCAGCTGCGCGACGCTGCCCACCTCTGTCTTCTTGGAGTTGAGTTCGCGCAGATTCTCCTCCTGCGTCTCGATCTCTTTGTGAAGAGCTGCACAAAACCCATTTAAAAGCAATATCAGCCAATACAGTCTTAAGGTAATTGCAACGCAGACTGTAGTTTGACACCTTTCTTCTTGCGTTCAATGATCTCAAGAGCCTGCGGAGTCGAGCGCCACGAGAAATACTCGTCTCCGAGATGCGCCAACACCTCGTTGGAGCGCACAATTTTGCCCGGCACCATTGCACGCTTACCCAGAGGTACCATGACTTTGTGCGACAGCTTCTTGGGCAGCTCCGTCAGCGTATCGGCAACGGCATCGAAGCGGTCCACTTGGTCCTGCAGTTGTGACAGCTGCTCACGGACGCTCTCGATGCGCTGCGGCAGCGAAATAGTAGCGTGAGCAAAACATTATAAAATGTTTGGTATGATGGATAGATATTCACGTGTGCACCTCCTGCAACAGCCGAGCGTTCGCCGCCTCCGCCATTACACCCAGTGCCGCCATCGACTCGGAGAAAAATGGCAAATAGAAAATCAAACTTCCTCTATCCCGAAATAAAAGGCCAAATCCCACTTACAAGGTATCCACTGTGGACATATTTCGGACCAGTTGTCAAATTAATAATTTTGTGTATATATCGACATATTTCGGGCCAGGACATCACGATATGACCGTCTTTGGTCGACGGGACTGCTGTCGCCGAACTCTTTCTTACCAGCCAGCTCCGCGTCCTAGATGATGCCTCTGCTTTCTCTTTTGCTCGCTCCGCTGCCCGTGCTTCCTTTGCATTTCGTTTCGACATTTTATCCTGCTCTCGTTGAAACGTCTTTTTCGACTTGCTTGTCTTATTTATCGTGTAGATTCATATCCTGTTTGGCAAGCTTCCCGACCAAGGCAGACTTCTTATTAGCTTCCTTCTGTGCTTTTACAGTGGCTTTCACCTTAGCAGCCGCCAGCATCATGTCGTAGCTTAAAAGCTCGCCACCAGAACAGTTTTCATCAACCCACTCGCCTCGTGTCCGTTTTTGCGGAGTCGGTGCAGGTAAAGCGGACGATAGAAGATTGACAGCGCTAAGCGCGTTGAGGTATAGGTCTCGCTCGCGCAGAGCTCTCTTTTGGCGCTCCGTTACAACGAGTCTGACTGTTGCAGCGGTATTATGCCCCCAGATTAATGAAGAGATGTGGTAGTATGTCACTTGAAACAGGAGGATCGTTGCCAACAATTCCGGTCATCATTCTGACAGGTGACAGTGGATACACGCCAGCCTTCTCGAGCATTACTCAGACAACACGCTTCAATCAACGGCAGACGAGAGAGCTCCGAGGCACGAGGCCATGAATCCGCTGCCGAAGAGCACTCTGTATGTCGTTGCAGCCGTTTGCAGCGGCGTGCTGTCATTTACCGCGGCGATTGATGCTAGCCAGGTCCTGGCATAGACCTTCTTTGGGCCCTTGCCCTTCTTCCACTTAACAGTCTTCTCCATCAAGGAAGGGGGGGGGGGCTCTTTGTGGATCAGCTTCTTTGGCAGCTGACGTCGAATAGACACGCGCAATAGCTCTCGAAAAAATAATTGCCTCTCCTTTCAGATATGGATGAATATACACGTCTTTCCGCACAGACACAAAGGCAAGATTGTGAATATGTGATAAATATCCAATCATATACTAATATGTAGCTTAATTCAGCCAATTAGGTCGCACAGGAGCAGGCTCTTCATTCCGACACTTTCTGACAAATATTTGTCGAAAGCTAGAGCTAACTATTTTGAAACCAATACTGAATTTAAGTCGTGTAAGATATATGTCAATATTTTTGTGGTTCCGACAATGCGGTATACCTCCTACTTTAGGTTAAAATTGAGCAGTAGTGTTAAGGCACACTCAACCAGCCAAGTCCAGTTAACAAAAAGCAGAAAAGACAAGCAGCAACCAGCATGAGCCTCTCCGCACTTATCCCTACAAACACGCAAAAAGCGCGTACTACCGGAATAGGCGCGTTCGAGCGTATGCTTAAAGTCGAGGATGTATCCATGGACGTTGTCCGAGCATGCATTTTCAGTGACAGCTCTGGAAAGAGCTTAGCGGCCGTGATGGATCGTTTTGGCTACTATCTCGCCACATGCGAAGGTAAGAAAGGTAAGTTGGCGCCCAACACCGCCACTTCTTACTTTAGAAACGTGAAGCTTTGGTTTTTCGATGAGTATCCTCATCTTAGAGTTCCAACCGAGCTAATTTTGCTTAAACAAGGGAAGACTCTCGAAAAACACTGCTTAAAACGTGATAATGGAGGATTTACTAACAAGGCGCCACCTTGTACAAAGGCGGATTTGCGCTCACTAATATGCTATGTGTACAAAACAGCATCCGTCGCCTCGGATTACGAAGATGCAGCGCTTGCGTGCCTTATGTGGCATTGCTTCGGCCGTTCATCAGATCTCGGCTACGTCACAAAGCAGCACATTACAATGTCAGCTGACAACGTTTTCTTCATTCGGATGCTACGAATGAAAACAGCTGAGGAGCAAGGCCTCACGCTCGTACCTGATCGGGCGGATTTTGTGACCTGCCCGCTGCACACGCTCGCAGTAGCCTTGGTGATGCAGGAGTCGCCTTGTGTGTCCCTGCTAAGCCAGCTTCCTTCTCTTGTGACACCGTCTGCACCATCACTTGATGCAGCAGCACCCCTTCTCGATGTACTACGAGTACCTTCGGTCAATGCTGCCACCTCTTCGCAGCTTCCTGCAGCAGGGATGACTGACCCGGCGGCTGCCACTCTGCGAAGCGTCCCGAGCTCCGCTGCAGCCAACCCTTCAGCGACCAACCAAGCTCGCGGTGACGACGGGGTTCAAGCGTATGTGAACCGGTTCCTGAAGCGGGTGTCGGAGCCGGCAGGAGCCTCAGCCAACTTGACCTCGCACTCCTTCAGGCGGGGCGGGGCGCAGCATGCAAACGGGGACGAGCGGCTGGCTGCACAGTGGATCTTTGATCGTGGGTCATGGGACATGACGCGCACCAACAAAGGATTCGCCTACGTATTCAACACGCCACGCGAGGACCGTAAAGTAGCACGGGTCTTGAGCGGGTGGGCTGCGGACGAGGCACCGATGATTCTTGATGTTGCCATTCTCGACCATGGGGCTCAGGAGCGCATGACCCGGTTGCAGGAGTTGCTGTTCGCTTCCTGTGTAGGGCTGAAGAACAACAAGCTAAACGTGAGTCGCAAGGTAATTGGGGTCCTTACCGCCTACCTAATTAGGCATTTCCCGGAAGTGAAGACTCTCGAGCCCAGGAGCTTGTTCGTTGTTCGAGTGGAAGAATGCTTGGAAGCAGCTGACATCTCCCACTGTATCAGCCTGGCGTGGTCGGTCGCGCTGAGCCATGTCGCCTCCAAACCTGCTCAACAAAGGAAGGACACTGAAAAGAACGGCTGCAATCGAACGGAGTGTCATCACGCTGCTGTCATTAATGATCTTATCGAAAGAAATAGGCTGTCGTCTGCACGCCTGCTGGTGCTAGAGGCTGCCATCCTTAAGCGACCTGCGCACGAAGAGCCAGCCCAAACTACAGAACAGGAGCAAGTTTCGTCAGATCGAACACCTGCAGCGAAACGCAGAAAGAAAGCGACTACCAACCTGTCATCGATCTGGTTCGAGTGGTACACACGGCAGCCTCGCGTCTGGAGCTCTAACGACCGACAAAAGAAGTCAGATTACCGCTTGATCGTCGCGTACATGAAGCTTTTCCTGGAGGGCGGGTTCTAGCTTCACGAGAGATCGGAGGACTACAAGGATCGCGCTCTCGAGGTCGACCAACGTGCAGAATCGGCGGTCCTCGGCTTCCTGAGTGGACAAGGGATCCGAGCAAAGGGCAGCGGTAGCGTACTGCGTGAGATGCGCAAACTTCATCGCTTAGGAGCCCTCGACGGCCGTATCACGACGTACCGTACACACCTCACCTCAAACAAAATTGCTGATCCTGCGCCTACATCAACCCAAGACATACTTCAATTCGTAGGACATGTGTAAGACAAGTGAGTAGATGTTAATGAATTGCAACTCTTCGCAAACATCATAAGCCGACAGCAGGGAATTGGACCCCCCACTCGTTACTATCCGAGCGCTGCACCAGCAGTACCGGCGGGATTCGTGTGCGCAATGGCATACTGTGCTCTGGACTGGTCTTTTGCTACGGGAGATCTGCTGGGGTGGCTCTGGAAAAAGAAGGCTGAGACCACAAGGCCCCTGTCGGTAATTTGTAGCGCTGCATGATTGGCTAAGTAAAATACCTAGGCAAGGTTTAATAAGTGACGTTGTTTTATTGGCTGAGCAAAAAACCTGAATGAGGTTATTCCAAATGACTGGCCTACGACAATGATGTCACTATTTTTGGCTTAAGTGTCATTGTTTTAAAGTAACCTCTAATAGTGGCCCCTCACCCTGGCTTCGGGTCTCATTCATGAACTTGCTGGCTGGTGAGCACAGTGCTGTGAAGCCTATAATGCCCCTAAACAGAAAAATGAGTTTTCT